CCCTGACTCATCTCCCGGCCGGTCCCGCCCCCAGGGCCGGCCGCCCCACTGGTCAGCCGGGAGGGCGGCGTCAGCAGGCGGGTCTTCCTGGGCAGCCTCCGGGGAGGAGGAGGGCAAAGACTCTGGCTGCCCCAAAGCGGCCTAGGGCAGTGCCCACGGTTATGTGCCAGACAGGCCGTTTCCAGGGACAGGCGGTCCCCTGCCTCTGACGCCGCCTGTCAGAACTCTGGGGATAGGAGGAAAGCCCGTTTTGTTCGTTTCTAAAACAAAAACAAAACAAAGCAAATGGGGGGCGGGGTGTGACTTAGAGCGGGGAGCCTGGAAGGCGCGCCTTTGGCGACAGTTTCTGCAGGTTCAGCCCTGTGGGGGAGGAACGTAGGGAGTTAGCACCGGAGTGTTTGGCCGGTCCCACAAGGGAATGTGGTGTGACTGTGCCCGTGGAGTGAAAATGTCACTAGGAAGATGGCCAAGATTTAGGTTAAGTCTGAAGATTAGAAGGATACTGCCATATGCGTTTGTGGTGGGAAGGGGGAGTCGGTTGAGAAAAGGTTGTGGTTAAGTTCATAAGTGGGGAGGGATGTTGTAGTTGCGGGTTTCTTAAGTGATTGTGTGTGTGAGCGGGTCTGTTCTGACGTGCAATAGGTTTGAGCTAGAGCCCCACCTATTGCACGTCAGAATGGGGCCCTTTTCATCTTGTGAAACCGAACCTTAACAGTAACCTGTTTTGTGATCCTAGGACCCTGCAGGAGAGACAAGAAGCGTCTCTGGGAGTTCTGGGAGGTGGAGGCGGGTGCTTACAGTTTTAACCCCCCCCCCCCCCCACGGCAGAATATTTAGATTCTTACCAGCAGCAGTTTGAGTACCGTGTAAACAAGCTGTAGTGTTTCTGCCCCAGGTGAAGGCGTCATCGCCTTCAGCAGGGCTGGGGTTAAGAGGAGGAGCCTGGTGTGGACCTGGGAGCTTTCTAGTGGGGGAGGGCACCATGGGGGCGGGATTACCTTATAAGGAGTGGAATATAGACAGGGGCCTAGGCCAACTTCCTGCTTTGCCTACTACCAGTCGGTCCGTTTACCAACACCAGCTAAAACCAGGAAGGATGCCAGATGGGCACCCGACCTGGGAAGACGCCAGTAATGCCAAGGCATGAGGCTCTTGTTTTTCAGAGGACTTGCTGGCTGGACGAACCAGACCTTCTAGTTTCCATGGTCTGGGTTGGGGTGTGTGAATCTATGCCCACCACACAACCCAAAGAACTAGCAATTCAAATATCAACCTGGAATATTAGAAGTGATGAAAAGTCACACGTACTCGAAACTCTCAAGCAAGCTCAGGATACAACAATGACTTTGTAATCGGGCCAGCAAAGGCACAACATTGAGACTCCTCACATGGGTAATTGGAGGTTTTGAATTTGGGTTTCTAGAGCTGAAAGACCCAAATTCCTTGTGTCACAGAACTCCACCTTTGCCCGATCTTTTCATGTCAGCTCCCTTTGTCCTCATTATCAACTCCAGAGCCTTGATTTCTGCCTCATGTGGTAATTGGGACTGGCTGTAATTTCATACTGCCTTTCACCTCCCTGTTTGGTTGGTTTGCTAATAAATATTCACCGTGTAATAACAGCCTTGTTCAGAGTTTTTGTAGGGCTAGAAAAGGGCATATGTCAGGGATCCACAGCACATTTCTGAAGCAACTTGAAAACTTTATGGTCAAGTAGGAAGACCCGGGCCCTGCAGCTTGTAAGAACTGAGATAAACCCTGGCTCTGTCACTTACAGGCTGGGTGACTGTGGATAAGTTAGCCATCATCTCAGTGCCCAGGTTCCCCTTGTAGATGGGAGTTGTGATACCCACCTCACTTGGAAGGATCAGAAATGGATTGTATAAGGAGCCTGGCACCAAGTAGAGATTTAGCAAATAATTTTATCATCGTCATCTTATCAAGATGTGGCAGTGCAATATGTGCCAAGGGAACAGAAAATACAAGCAGAACGTAGGTGGGGTTTACAGGGGAAAGGTTTTCCCGAGTCAGGCTTTGACTTGGGCCCTGAATCAATGCATATAGCTGAGAAGGCAGGAGAGGCAAGCTCACGTCAGCTAAGGGACCCAGCCAGAGTGAGACTGGACACAGTGCTAGGAAGAGAGCAGGAGGGAGGCCAGACTGAGGGCGTGCAGGCCATGACCAAAGGCATATGGGTGCCTAGCATGTGCCTGATTCTCTGCCACCTGTCAGAGGTTGAGGAAGACTCAATTCTGGCACAGAGCTCAGCACCAAGAGGGTAAAGACAAGGAAAGTGAAGATTAGAAAACTGTGGGAAACTCCCTGAAGGAGGCTCCAGGTTACTTGAGAGCCCTGAGGCAGGGACTGCAGCCTAAGGTTGGTTGTGCGGGAGCCCCAGGAGATGCCTCTCTCACACCTTGGGGCTGTTTTGACTGTCCTCTGCTGTGAGGCAATGCCTGTCTCTCCTCCTCTGGAGAGGAGCAGGGGACAGCCCCAAGCCTCACAAGTCACCTTCCTCTCTCTCCCAAGACTCTCTTCAGGGGAAGGGTCCACCTCCCGCCTCAGCATGTCCCGAAGAAGCCAGCGTCTCACGCGCTATTCCCAGGGTGACGATGATGGCAGCAGCAGCAGCGGAGGGAGCTCGGTGATGGGAAGCCAGAGCACCCTGTTCAAAGACAGTCCTCTCAGGTAGGGACGTGAGCGATTGCCACAGCCCCCGTCGACTGAGCACTGCCCGCAGAGCAGGTGACTCTTCCTGCTGCCAGATGCCCATGTCCAATCAAAGGGGTTCTGCCTGCCTTGACACCTGTGAGGATGCCAGCACCCAGTGTCCCTCTTCTCCCCCTACTGTGAGCTGGTGCTGCTGCCCTCATGATTAGAGAACAGGAAGTGGGGAGAGGCAGCTTCAAGTGTGAGCCAGGTCGGAAACCCTGAAGCTGCGGGCTGGGCTCGCACAAGCCTCTTCTGCTCTGGATGGGTGTGTCTGTCTGATCGTCCTTCTGGACACAGGCCCGCATATCTCAGCGTCTGCTGAGGTGACATAGGTGAGAAGAAGGACAAGTCCTTGGGATACTGGGAAATGAGCTGAAGTGTCCTGCCCTTCGATGACAGGAGGCCCAGATTGCAGGCCCCTGAGGCTTTGGCAAGCCCTAACAGCCAGAACGGGTTTGTCTGGTTTTCAGTGGGTTGTAAAATTACTAAGCCATTAAGAAGCTTGGGGAAAATCTTTGAAGTTAGATACCTCAGTTAGAATCCCAGCTCCATCCCTAACTACTGGTCTTGCCTGTCTGCTCTGAGATTCTGAGATAGTAGGAGCAGAGAAAGTGCCTGCACTGGTAGATAGGCATGAGATGGGAGCTGTCAGTTGCCTAGCAACAAGACCAACCACGCAGAGGAGGGCCCCAGAGCTTTGGCTTTCCTTAGTGTGTCTGGCTGGGCTCACCTGCCAGCTCCCTGCCTCTCCCACAGGACCTTGAAGAGGAAGTCCAGCAACACAAAGCGTTTGTCCCCAGCCCCACAACTGGGCCCATCCTCGGATGCTCACACCTCCTACTACAGCGAGTCTATGGTCCAGGAATCCTACATAGGTAGCCCCCGGGCTGCATCCCTGGCCAGAAGCGCCCTCCTCAACGACCTGCACAGTGACTCCTACTGGAGTAAGTATCCAACTCTTTCTCTTGAGGCTTGGCTTCCTCTGCTTCCCCTAAGATACTCCTTGGAGTGTCCCCTGGATCCTCCAGAATACCCTCTTTGGAGCACCTCTCTGTGAGGCCCAATTTTGCAGAGGCTTTCGGAGCCCCAGAAGAGCCCCTCATTCTTCCCTGCACAGGTGAGGACCTGCGAGTGAGGAGGAGGAGAGGCACAGGCGGCACCGAGAGCAGCAAGGCCAATGGGCTCACGGAGGGCAAGGTCTCCGAGGACTTCCTCGGCTCTTCCTCGGGCTACTCTTCTGAGGACGACTATGTGGGTAGGCCATGCTTCCTCCTTCCACCAGCAGACCCTGGGGCTGCCAGGAAGCCTTGGGAAGCATGGCGTGTGGCGGGCACTTCACAGACCGGCTGGGGTGTCCTCCTGTGCCCAGCCTGAGCCTGGCCTGTGGCGGCCCTTAGCACCCTGGGCTGCAACAGCAGCTTGCTTCTGTCTGCCCCACCCCCACTTCAGGTCAGCACCATCATGTTCTGGCTCATTTCCAGCACTTTACCATGGGGCTTCACACATGTAGGTGCTCGGGAATTCTTGCTAAATGCATGGCTGATCTCTCAGTCCAGTTGTGAACAGGGGTTTGAGGGATTATTGGTGAAGAGGAAGAGAAGGACGCCAGAGGAAACTCTATAGGAAATAAACTGTCCAAAAGCTCCCATTTCATCCCTTCCATGAACATTTACTGGCCTACTGCATGCCAGGCCTGCGTGGGGCTCTAGGGGTGTGAGGAGAACGATTTTGGTCTCAGCTCACAGAAGACAATGAAGGGAGACACAGATTCCATACCACAAGGCTCAACAGTGATGACAAACTGAGCTGGTTTCCTCTCCTGTTTCCCTGCAGGCTACTCAGTCGCAGGCCAGCAGAGTTCAGGGTCGCGGTTAAGGAGTGCTGTCTCACGGGCAGGCTCCTTTTTATGGCTGGTGGTCACTTCTCCAGGTAGGTGCTGGCCAACCCGTGCTCAGTTACTTCCATTCTCTGCAGCAGTAACTATTTTTTTTTTAGTCAGAGTCTCACTCTGTCACTCAGGCTGGAGTGCAGTGGCACACTCACGGCCACTACAGCCTCAACCTGCTGGGCTCAGGCGATCCTTCCACCTCAGCCTTCCAAGTAGCTGGAATCACAGGTGTGCACCACCACACCCAGCTAATGTTTTGATTTATTGTAGAGATGAGGTCTTGCCAAATTGCCAAGGCTGGTCTCGAACCCCTAGGCTCAGGCAATCCTCTCGCCTCCACCTTTCAAAGTGCTGGGATTATAGGTATGAGCCACCTTGCTCGGCACTGCAGCAGTAACTTCTTACCCATCTCGCTGCGGTTGGGCATCCAGCCCATACAGAGAGACTATCAGACCATAGGGGGAAGGTTGTTCTAGAATAATCACTGGGAATCCTGAGCCATGGGAACACACTTGCTTGGAAGGGGAGGAGCAGGTGCAAAGCAGGACAGAGGGCGTGGGCTGTCCTGGGAATCCAGGGAACTGGGTCGCTGTAAGACAGGACAGAGACTTACTGGCAGGTGGGTGTTGGGGTTGGGGACAGGGAGGACCACAGATGGGGTGAGAGTGCAATGCCAAAACCACAATGTGAAGACCCAGGCCTGCTGGTCACATTTGCAGGCCGGCTCTTTGGACTTCTCTACTGGTGGGTTGGCACCACCTGGTACCGCTTGACGACAGCTGCCTCTCTCCTTGATGTCTTTGTTTTAACCAGGTGAGTGAAACTCCAAAAGCCCTGGGCTAAAGGGACCAATACAGTGTCCCAACTGTAATGGTCATTTCTCTGAAGGTTTCTCCTAGATTACTTGGAGCTCTTATTAGCAAGCATGGAGTGGCCTCCCCAGTGTGCCCCTCTGCCTCTGAGGATGGAACTCAGAGTCAGGTTCTTCTTCCCAAATCGATAGTCCTTCAGGGCAGTGTTCTGGAACACAGGTTCTTATTTTTTCTCAGACACTTCCTACTAAATGCCACCCTAGTCTAGCCACATCTGATTCTCAGATTCCTGACAGCTGCTTACACTCTTGCCAAAAGTGGGTTTCCCAGAAAGCCTCTTCCCTCTTGGTCCTGGGATAATCTATACCCCAGAGTTCCCCGTCATGGTCAGAAGCCATAAAGAGGCTTTGTTAAGGATGCTGTGGGTTCATTCCCCAAGTCCCTAAACCAGTAGAACCAGGACTTGGGAACTTGCCCCTTAAGTAGTGGAAAGAAGACTGATTGAGAAGGCAGGATCCCTCTGGCCATAACTCAAGTCTGGGTGGGTAGCCAGCTGTGCTGAGACAAAGGGCAAGGACAGACTTGTGTTGCCAAAAAAAGGTTCCTCCTTTTTCTAAAAGAAATATATATATTTTTTGAGTTGGGGTCTCACTGTGTCCTCTGTCACGCAGGCTGGAGTGCAGTAGCACAATCATAGCTCACCACAGCCGTGACCTGGGCTCAAGAGATCCTCAGCCTCCAAGTAGCTGGGACTACAGACATACACCAACATGCTTGGCTAATTTTTTTTTTTTAACTTTTGTAGAGATGGGGTCTCACTATGTTGTCTAGACTGGCTTCGAATTTCTGGGCTCAGGCAGTCCTCATGCCTGCCTCAGCCTCCCAGAGTGCTGAAATTATAGGTGTGAACCACTGTGCCTAGCCTGTAAAAGAAAATATTATTTAAGGAGTTGGTTTTTTCCTGTATTTGCTCGCTTAGAGGACCTCTCTGTATAAAAACGTTGGGGTTTTTCAAAGACCACACTGTTTACTTTTAATAACATCAGTAAAATTCAGTCAAAATCATCTCTGTTACTTGTGGGCCTACACTACAGACTCTGAAGTGTTCAGTCTGGCCCCGGCATGATGAGAAGCTCAGGGGTGTGACCCCTTAGCTCTCTTCAGTCCCCGAGGGATTCCCTGGGGGACTTGTAGAGGCCCAGAGCATCACCTCACGCCTCCACCTGCCCTGTTCTGCCCCTGCATGGTCCAGGCGCTTCTCGTCCCTGAAGACGTTCCTCTGGTTCCTGCTACTGCTGCTGCTGCTGACCTGCCTGACATATGGTGAGCCTGCGTGGCCAGGGCGTGGGGACAGGAACCAGAGGGGCAAGAGCAGGATGTGGCAGGTGCACCCAGCAGAGATGAGTTCACCAGAGGGGTGGTGATCCTGAGCAGACAGGGCAGGGGTAGGATATGAGGTGGGCAGCCCAAGCCTGAGCCCTGGGTCCCCCTGTATGGCCTTCCCCCTGGGTCTTCTCTTGCCTGAAGCTGCCCTGCTCTCAGGATGTCCCAGGGGTGACAGGGATAATGCCCCTCTGATGATCTTGTCCTGAGCTGGAGTGGCCACACAGTACTGCATGATATCCCTGGAGTGTCCTTTGTGTTGCTCTGGGCAGGGACACACCCTCATAGAGCAAGTGTGGGAAAAGACAGGCCTCACCGCTGCTATTCCACATCAGGACACAGCTGTATGAGTGAATTGTTTTTACAAGATCAAACTTTCTTTAAGGTAAAAATAATAAAGTAGCAAAAAGAAAGAAGGGCTTCTTTCTGCACTGATATAGTCATTTTGCCACTGCTCTGCATTGTTCCAGACTCTGACGTGGGGCTTTCTTGCTCATGGAGGCATTTCATATTCAGCTTTCCACCTGACACCTTCGCCAGTTGCACAATTTCATATGAACTGCCCATGTGGCTTCCAGGTCTACTTTAATGTTTGGACCAATTTACAATTAAAGACCATGACCATGCTGTATTATTTTTTGAGAGTTGGTTTTATAAGTTTAGCATCTTTTCAACTTGTATTTCTTTTATTAATAACAGGATAGAACATTTACTCAAATGTTGATTTCCTTTTTGTGCTTCCTGTTACAAGAACAGCTTGTTCATATCAAGTGGAAACTGGACATCGCCCTTAAAATAATAATGATTCTTTATAATTGTATAGCACTTTTTCCAGAGAGCACTTTCCTATGCATTATCTCGGTTTAATTTGAGCTTCACCATGTCCTTGTGGGGTTGGTAGAGACAGGAGGATCATGACCATGTCACATGGAGATGCGTGTGGTGAGGGCCAAGTGCTCAGGGCGTGCATGCATGACTCCAGGCCCGTGGCCTGTGCGTCCCCTGCACCTGCCAGTGGCCAGTGTTTGAGTGGCAAGTGTGAAGTCTTATAGAGACCTCTCAGCCAGTGTGCCTCCTGCTGGAGGCCCCAGCCCAGTGACTGGCCTCTCCCTTATGCACAGGTGCTTGGTATTTCTACCCCTACGGACTGCAGACATTCCACCCTGCTGTGGTTTCTTGGTGGGCAGCAAAGGACAGCAGAAAGCAGCATGAGGCATGGGACTCCAGAGACTCGCCCCCACATTTCAAGGTGAGCATCCTGGGTGGCGGGTTCCCAAGCATTCAGCAACAGTTAGGTGGTGGTGAAGGTGGTGGGCACTTCCTTGGCCTGTCTTATGCCTTACAGAGCTGAGGGATGCCATCCCAGCTGAGTTACCCCTTTCTCTACTCTTTGGGGTGGAGGCTTTGAAGTGGGTGTCTGTGTTTAAATTGACTCAAAACTATATCCGAGAATTAGTTGCCATCCTAAGAAACACAGAAAACTGAAGAAAAAGGAACCTGACAAATTATCGTCTACTTTGTTCCTTTTCAATACAATTTCACAAATATATACTGCGTACTTTCTATGAGTAAAGTAATATCCCAGTGAGTTACCTCTTACCACAAACAAACCAAGCCTAAAATCAGACACTTAAAACTACATAAGCCTATGGGTCATCTAGGTGGCCCTTCTGGACTGAGTAGGGACAGTTCATCTTGTCTGCACTCCCTCTTGCCCATGAGAGAGAGAGAGAGAGAGAGAGAGAGAGAGAGAGAGAGAGTGTGTGTGTGTGTGTGTGTGTGTGTGTGTGTGTGTGTGTGTCTGTGTCTGTGTCTGTCTGTCTACAGTTGGCTAGTGGGTCAGCTGGCAGCTGGTTGGCCAAGGCCCTTGCTGGGGACGACTGTATCTCACATGCACTTTAGTCACCTAGCAGCCTAGCCTGAGCTGGTCTCAGCACCTGGGTAGGGTTCCAAGAGAGAACTGAGGCTCCAGACCTTTGAGGCATTGAGCCAGAACCAGTACTGTCACTTCCACCACATTCTACTGGCTAAGGCAAATCTCAGTGCCAGTCCAAATTCAAGGAGGAGGACATAGTCTCCACCTCTCAGCAGGAGAACCTTCAAGGTCACGTTGCACAGGGTGTGAACACAGGGAGGAGTGAGGAACAGGGGCCAGTTTTATAATCTGCCAGAGTCTAAAGATGGATCAGGACTGGGCACAGTGGCTCACGCCTATAATCCCAGTACTTGGGAGGCCAAGGTGGGAGGATTGCTTGAGCCCAGAAATTTGAGACCAGCCTGGGAAACATAATGAGACTTTTTCTCTACAAAAAAATCAAAAAATTAGCTGGGCATGGTGGTGCATGCCTGTAGTCCCAGCTACTTGGGAGGCTGAGGCTGGAGGATCACTTGAGCTTAGGAGTTTGAGGCTTCAGTGAGCCATGATCATGCCATTGCTTTTCAACCTAGACAACAGAGTGAAACCTTGACTAGATGGATAGATAGACAGATAGAGATAGAGATAGATAGATAGGTAGATGAGGCCCAGGCTGTGCCCTCAAGCAGCCAACAGTTATCATAACCAGAATGTGGTATAAGCACAGATGTACAACTCTTTATCCCCTAATTCTGGTTATTTGAACTGTGCTTGCATCCCATTAAGTTGTTTTTTAATTTTTATATTTTTATTTTTTGAGTGAGAATCTCACTGTCACCTAGGCTGGAGTACAGTAGCATGCCAATGGCCCCTCAGTCTCAACCTGCTGGGCTCAGGTGATTCTTCTGCCTCAGCCTTCTAAGTAGCTGGAACCACAGGTGTATGCCATCACACCCAGCTAATTTTTTTATTTACTGTAGAGATGAGGTCTTGCCAGTTGGTCTCAAACCCCTAGGCTCGGGCAGTCCTCTCGTCTTCACCTCCCAAAGTGCTGGGATTACAGGCATGAGCCACTGCACTCAGCCCTCATTGAATTTAATTTGTCACATTTTTAACCGTATATTTTTGTGGATATTACTTTCCTGACCATGATCTTATTATTTTATAAAATAAATATATCTGTCATCTATGACTTTTCCTTTTTTTGTCATTAAAGAAATTAATGCAGTTCAATTTCAGAACTGCCTTTTCTGTAAGAAGGGAAAGTAAAAAATGACTAGAGCTTGTATTTGCTTACATTGACCCTGGAGAAGGCAGTGGTGAGGGCCCTGGTGGGTGGAGAAGAGGTCAGAAGCATGACTTTTTGCTGTTTGTGTGCTTTTTGAGTCATGGAAACCCATTTGCCTGTCTAAAAAATACAATTTCTAAAAATCAGAACCTCTGTCACTCAGTAGCTCTCTGCCATTTAACTGAGTAGATAGATTGTTTCATAATTTATCTTGGCAAAGTTTTTGTTGTTAAACCAACAAGGTTCTCAAAATTCATGATAGCTATCAAATGCCACCTTCAGATCCAAGTGACTTATTCCATCTTCTCTGTGAGACAACCAGCTAAAGAGGAAAAAGGAAGCGTTTTCAAGTTATTTCGTCTTTTAGTCATAGTTAGTTTCACTCCTGCAGAAGCAGTGAAAACCATTGAGAGTCAACAGCTGGAATTCCCAGGCCCTGCAAGAGGCCGGGTGGGGGTAGGCTTCAGCCCAGCAGGTCCCATCCTGTGGCCTCCCCTGTCTTCTTCTTAGACCCTTTGCACTCAGACCCTCTCCTAGCACTCCTCCATTCCCCTGGGATGAGACTCCTGCACCGTGTCCTCAGGGACTCTCCTCTGTGGCCAGCCTGACACCTCCCCACCTCACAGCGTGCCCAACTCTGAGCGTGCTCCAGCGGCCCAGCATGTGCTTGTGTTGGGGTATCTCTGGGATCTTTTCCCTCTCTCTGCTGGCTGGTCAGGGTTATCTTCAGGAAGTGCTATCATCCAAGGGTCCTCCTGTGTCCCTCACCCATGTCTTTTCTCCCTGTCCCGCCAGGCCGAGCAGCGCATCCTGTCCCAAGTGCACTCTCTGGAGCGGCGCCTGGAAACTCTTGCTGCCGAATTTTCTTCCAACTGGCAGAAGGAGGCCATGCGACTGGAACGCCTGGAGCTGCGGCAGGGGGCCTCTGGCCAGGGAGGCGGTGGCGGCCTGAGCCATGAGGACACACTGGCCTTACTAGAGGGGCTCGTGAGCCGTCGTGAGGCTGCCCTGAAGGAAGACTTCCGCAGGGACACAACTGCCCGCATCCAGGTGAGGGGCAGAGTGCTTCAGAGTGGGAGCTGAGTGTCCTGCAGGGGTGATGAACACATGAGGCTACCCGGACAGAGAGAGAGAGAAAATATCATTTGGGATGGGACAGCCTCAGTTTCCTCCTCTTTAAAGTGGAGTCTGTGTATTCCCCCCAGTGTGAGACATGCTGTCACAGAGCCCTGGCACAGTGCCTGACACACATGGTGTGTGGTGGGACAGAAGGGGTCTCGTATGTCTCAGAGAAGCACTGTAGCATAAGGGCTGAGAGCTGGAGCTCCGGCAGCAAACAGACCTGGTGTGAACTCATTACTCCACTTCCTGGTCCTTCATGGCCCTCCCAGCACAACTCTGTCAGGTCTTCAGTCCTCTGCTTCGTGTCTGACAGGAAGAACTGGCTGCCCTGAGAGCAGAGCATCAGCACGATGCAGAAGATCTCTTCAAGAAGATTGTCCAGGCCTCCCAGGTTGGTGGCTCAGGGAGCCCGGGGCCTGTGATGAGGTCCCCATTCATTTCAACATGTTCTGGGGCTGAGAGAAACACCTTGGACCCCTGGGCCCTTCAGAAGGGACTGCTTGAACAGTGAGTGGGGAGAGGTTGTGCAGGCCCCTGGCTTCTGTTTGACTTGGGCTGCCTCGGGTGGAATGCGCCCTCGGCTGTGCCGGGGCAGAGTGGCCTTGGTGTTGGGTGTGCACGTGCTGAGGGAACGGCTGGACGGACGAATGGCTGAGTGTGCTGGACACGTGCAAGACTCTCTGGAGGGCTCTGACCAGGAGGCCAGTTTGATTTTTGCTGCAGGAGGCAGGGGACCCTGGGGCAGGGACGTGGTTAGCACAGACCCCCCAACAGAGAGCAGATTGCCTCTGGGAGACCGATTTCTGAGCTTGGTATTTATTGTATTTGTCCTTTCTGCCTGCTCACAGGAATCCGAGGCTCGCATCCAGCAGCTGAAGTCAGAATGGCAAAGGTGACTCTGAGTGCCACAGGCTCCCCCTCCGCTCTCCGCCCCACTCCAGGCAGCATTGGGGAGCACAGCCCCAGAGCAGAGTCCTGATCGTATCACCAAGCAGAGAGGGGAGGTGGAAAGCTAGCTGGGGACCCTGCTAGAGCCTGTCTCTGAGGTACAGTGGAGGCTGGCAGGAGGGCACTGCAGGCGGAGGCGGGCACTTACAAGACTGGGGCTCACATATAGACACACCACCTTTCCTTCCAGCTTGTGCAGCTGCTTCTCATGACCCAGATGCCCACACTTGTTCAGAACTAGCTTTCTGAGACAGGCAAGCCAGTTGCTAGGCACCTGCTCTGTGGTCTACAGCCACAGCCTCCAGGAGTAGGCCTTGCCCCTCTCGAGTTCCTGGTGGGGTCCTCCTTCCTCAGCATGGCCTTAACCTTCACCCAAGAAAGCCAAGGCTGACTCACTCTCTCTCTCTCTCTCTCTCTCTCTCTCTCTGGCCTAGGATGACGCAGGAGGCCATCCAGGAGAGCTCTGAGAAGGAGCTGCGGCGGCTGGAGGACCAACTGGCAGGCCTGCGGCAGGAGCTGGCGGCCCTGGCGCTGAAGCAGAGCTCAGTGGCGGGTGAAGTGGGCCTGCTGCCCCAGCAGATCCAGGCTGTGCGGGACGACGTGAGTGGAAACCGTTGCGGCTCCATTGGATGTCCTCTCCTCTGAGACCATCCATCCCCGGGGTCTGCACTGCAGGCGCCCCCTGCCCCTGCAGCCTGTTATTCCCCTGAGCCTGCTGCACTTGGGGCACACACCAGCTTTTGGTGATGGGTACACTTCCTGTTTTCCTGTTGATGCCCGTGGAGAGTTTTCCAAATGCCCTCCTCCAGTGGTCTTCTCCTTCCCCGACCTGCTGAGCACCATCCTGCCCTGGGACCCGGCCCCACCATAGCAGCTCCTGTCCCCTCCAGCCTTCCAGGTGACGGCATTTTTTGGTCCTTAGGTGGAATCTCAGTTCCCTGCCTGGATCAGCCAGTTCCTCCTCCGAGGAGGCGGCACCCATGCCGGGCTCCTCCAGAGAGAGGAGGTGCAAACCCAGCTGCAAGAGCTGGAGAGCAGGATCTTTGCCCACGTGACAGAGATGCAGGGCAGGTCGGCCAGGGAGACTGCAACCTCCCTGGGACTGACACTGCAGAAGGAAGGCATGGTCGGGGTGACTGAGGAGGTAAGAACCAAGTGCTACTCCTCCCACACACACATGTGGCTCTCCTCCCTGGACAACCCCACATTGCCAGCTCTTTGGCACGTTCTAGGACAGAGGTGCCATACAGGGGCTCTGTGCTTTGGGGCAGTGCCATGGGTAGAGGCAGGCCCTTACCTGCCTGGGAACCAGCATGGTGCAGGACAGGAGGGGTCGGCCATGGGTCCCTGGCCATGGCAGTGGGGTGTGGGACAGGTGAGGCTGCTTCCTGCTGGGACCTCTCTGGTGTCCTGTTGTAGCAGGTACACCGCATTGTGAAGCAGGCCCTGCAGCGCTACAGCGAGGACCGCATCGGCATGGTGGACTACGCCCTGGAATCAGGAGGTGTGTGCGCCCTGGCCTCGCTGTGCCTTGTCCTGGTCCCGGCAGTGGTTGGTCCCCTGCCATCTCCAGGGTAGTTGTAGCGCTAGGCAAGCAGGGATTGGGAGGAGCAGAAATCACCCAACCTAGAACTCAACACAAAGGCAGTGAGCAGTTCAATGCAGTCAGGCTGTACCAAGCACCATCCTTGACCTTGGGAGAGGCTGGTGTTTACAGCCGCCGTGGGGTCTTGGTTAGGGCTAAAGACTAGGCCTGGGCAACTGCCTGCTGTCTTAACAAGGAGACAGGCGATAGCCTGAGCTGGGTGCCTGGTCCCCCGACCCGCTGGAGCCCACCCTACCTTCCCTTCCTACCCTAGGGGCCAGTGTTATCAGCACGCGCTGTTCTGAGACCTACGAGACCAAGACAGCCCTCCTCAGCCTCTTCGGCATCCCCCTGTGGTACCACTCTCAGTCACCTCGAGTCATCCTGCAGGTGGGCACCCAGCAGCACAGCAGCAGAGGCTCTGAGCACACCCGGGGGACTGTCCCATCCTGGGTCAGCAAGAGCTGGACTCGGGGCCCTGCCCTAATATGACTCTCCACCCCTCCAGCCAGATGTACACCCAGGCAACTGCTGGGCCTTCCAGGGGCCGCAGGGCTTTGCTGTGGTCCGCCTTTCTGCCCGTATCCGCCCCACGGCTGTCACTTTAGAGCACGTGCCCAAGGCCTTGTCACCCAACAGCACCATCTCCAGTGCCCCCAAGGACTTCGCCATCTTTGTGAGTATCTACCCCGTGGGCATCTCTGCTGAGGATCAAGTCAGGGCTACCCCTTGGCTGGAGGGGGGCAGATCTGGAAGAGGTGGAACCAGGTGGGAGTTGAGACTGCAGTCCCAGTTACCTCAGGCTTCTGAGGAAGAAACTGAGGCATGAGAGTTAAGTGACTTGTCACAGGCCAGCGCTGGTGCCTGACCCTCTGGGTGGGAGGGGCAGGAGTGGGGTGTGTATGTGCTGAGGGAATGGGCCCTGCCCAGCACCGGCCCTGCCCACCACGTCTCTCCCCTCCATTCTGCTGCTGTCCTTTGCAGGGCTTTGATGAAGACCTGCAGCAGGAAGGGACTCTTCTTGGCAAGTTCACTTATGACCAGGATGGCGAGCCCATTCAGACATTTCATTTTCAGGTGCGGAGTTCTATGCTAGCTAAGGTGGCATGCTTGCTTTTCCACCCAGGCAGGTACTTCCCTGGCACTCTGCCAGGCACAGGGTTCAGGGAGGGAAGATGTAGCCCCTGCCCTCAGGCCCTGCCTCTCACCCCACACAGCTCAACATATAACCAGAGGGTGTAAGATGCACCTTGCAGATGTCAGCACAGAGGAGGGTCCTCCAGAAGGGTGGCATCAGGGAAGCTTCCTGAAAAAAGGCCCCAGTGAGGCAAGCTTTATGACAGAGAGGCTGGGGTTGCCAGAAGGAAGGCTGTGAGGGGCGTTCTAGGAGCCCAGCGCCAGGTGAGTGGGTGTTCCAGTGTGGCCAGCTGGGGCTTCAGGCAGTGCATGGGGCTTAAACTTGAGCGGGCATCGGATCTCCTAGGCCCGTGTTAGAAATGTAGATTCCCAGTCTCTATCCCGGGAGTCTGATTCTTTAAGGCTGACGGGACCCAGGAGCCTGCATTGAAAAAACCATCCAAGTGGATCTGAGGCAGGTGGCCCAAGCCCCACACCGGGGGAGTCCTAGTGTGAGGAATCAGGTGAGGGAAGGGGGACTGCGGGAGGTGCGCAAGGGACAGTGGCAGGAAGAGAGGCCACACTCTCAGCCCTCAGGGCTGTGGGGTGGCATTGTGCTTTAGGCAAAGCATGTTACTAAGGTCAACACGACCACATGTAAATGGTGAATTGACATGCGGCAAGCCTGGCGCGGAGGAGGACAGGGGTATCAAGAAGTGGCTGCAGGGCAGCAAGCCAGAGCAGGTGCAGTCAGGGGCATGTTGGGCATGAGAATGAGGATGTAGACAAAGTGGGGAGGGTCCTGAATGTCAGGTGGGATGGGAGCAGAAAGGAGGAGGTAGTTGGGAGTCGAGGGGGAGTAATGTGGACCCAGAAGATGGTCGGTGCCTATGGGACAGTGTAATGGAGCAGTCAGGGGCACCAGCCGTGAAGCCCAAGTTGTCATCAGCTCCAAGGTGATAACTGAGCTTGGGAGGGGTTGAGATTTCTCTCTAGGGGAGGCTAGAGGATAGGAGGCTGTGCAGGGAAGGCCAGAGGGAGGACAAGCATAAGCCGCTAGGCCTGTGGCGTCCACCGAGGCAAGATGTGTGCAAACGCTGGCTCAGATGTTGTGGCTTTTTGAGCTGAGGCCAGAGGCCTGGTGCACACTTGAAAAAGAAATTTGTGCATATGTCAGTGTCTGTCAGACCCTCCATGAAGGTTTTTTTTCCCATTGATAATCATGATTAAAAAGTTCCAGTTTGGGATGAACTGTGCTTGTCCCAGTACCAAAACTCAAGGTCCGGGCTTCACGCAGCCCATGTGGCTCTGTGGCCCCTGTAAGTACGCCGATGCCCCTGAGGCTCCTTAGCCCACGGCTGGAAACTGCTCAGGAGACTGAAGAGCTTTCAAAGGAGCTTTGGAGGCCCAGGACAGGAGCAGGGGAGCCATGTGGCCCTGGCACAGCTTCTTCCCATCACACCTTTCCTACCAGAGGTCTGTGGACCCCAGGCCACTCTTAACCCCTTTCTTCTCTCCCCAGGCCCCTAAGATGGCAACATACCAGGTGGTGGAGCTGCGGATCCTGACTAACTGGGGCCACCCTGAATACACCTGCATCTACCGCTTCAGGGTGCACGGGGAACCCACTCACTAGCCCTGCTTTCTCGTGCCTGCTGCCAGCCATCTGGGAGTCAGGGAACAGTACTCATCATGGCCCCCACCTGCTTGAGCCACGCGCTGACTTCCAGGAACAAGAAAGGAGCCCCAGCCAGTGGAGATGGGAAGGGACAGCCGGAGCCCTGAGCAGGGCAGCGCCTTCATTCTTCCTGCTCCTCGTGCCACCTATGTCCCCCTCCTGGGAGCGTGTATATATGTAGCATATCATGGGGGATTGGGAGGCAGGGAGAGAGGAGGCCTGACCATTGTCCAGGTGGGGGGCTGGTGCCCAGGAGTGCTGTGTGGAGCGTGGATGAAGCAGGTGCCAAAGCTGTGGGCGGGGCAAGCTGGGGCCTGGGCTGGGTGAGCTGTTCCCTCCTCCAGCAAGGAAGCGGGGCCCTCTGGGAGAAAGGTGCCCAGAACAGGGCAGGATGGAACTGTCCCTAGGCAAGATGCACCTGGTGTAGGGCTGCCCAACTCTCCCAGCAAGGCAAGTGCCCTCAACCTCAGGAAGCCTGATCCACAAGGTTCTTGATGGGCTTCTGTAGCAGCCTGTATCTGTCCCAGGTAGGGGTGGGTCATGGGGTTTCTTGTATCCTAGAGGGGACTGACTCCCGTGAGCCTCTAAGCCTGCTGCCAGGGTGGCTCTGGGGAACCATGGCTAGCCTGCAGGGTTCCCCTCAGCTGGGCAGCAGCTGCTTTTCCCTCTCCTGATCCTGGGGCCAACTCTGCTTCCTCTTCCTGCTAGGGCCTGCCAGTGCCCCCGAGCTTGCCACATCCCCCCAGGGTGCCATTAGCATCTGGTGTTAGCTGGAGGGTGGAGAGCAGAGGACTCCCTGGGCTCTCACCGTGACAATGACGATGGTGATGTTCAGGCTATCAGGGTAGGAGGTCTGCCTGCACTAGTCCAGCCCCTTCTCAGTCAGATCCTGATGGAGGGGCCCTGCCCTAGGCTACCCCCTTGGGCTCTCTCAGCTCTCAGATTGTCTCCTGCCTCGTTTTCTATGGGAGCAGTTGCAGTTGGGGGGGGCTGGGGGAGGGCTGGCAGAAGTTACCCTGGGTAGGAAAGGGGATGAGGAGGGACTTTGAGACCCAGCAGGCCCTGCTGTATTATGTATATATTTTTCAAGGTCTGTTTTTTTTAACTGAAAAGCTAAGGGCTTGATTCCTAGCCCCGTTCTGTGGGGCACCGGGTGAGATACTCAGTTCCTCATCCCTGAGAGTGGAGAGGGGCTGGGGCCTGTGAGGAAGGGGCAGGAGGGCTGCAGTGCAGGCAGGCATCCTTCCTTGCAGGGCTGGGCCCAGATGGGCCCCAGAGCACAGGCTGGAGGCGGCAGGGGAGGCTGCAACTGTTCCTGGTCTTCTAGCACTGGCCCTGCACAGCCCCGCCCTGCCCTGAGACAGCCAGGTGTTTGCGCCCTCCTGTCAAAAATGCTGCACTACTGGTTCCTAAGTTTTTTATCTCCAGGTTCTAATTTATGCCTATGCAAAAAATAAATGATGACCAGGACCTGAGGAATGTGGTTTTATGTGGGCATCACACAGGGCAGCTGCTCTTGGGCAAAAAAAGCATTCTTGGCCAAACCAACATCCCCAGAGACTTATTCCTAAAGTTTAGAAACCCAAGACTTTCACTTGTGATGGGGGATGGGACCTGGGGCAGGTCTACTCCAGTGTTTCTGGGTCAAGGGCTGGCGGGAGGAAGAAGCAGGGTGGCTTTACTGGCTGTCATTGACATTCCAGCATGGAGGAGGCTCTCTGGCCTCTTGGTGCCACTTGGCAGAAGCAGAAAAAATGACATGCTTCCTACTGACCACACCTCCCTGGAGTGCGCTCTCCTCCATGAGATTAGCTATCTGCCTCTTGTACTTGTGACTGGGAAGGGTCAAGGAGTGAGTCCCCTGAACAGCCAGAATCTGCCAGTTCCGGGGGAAAGAGATCCTGAGCTTCCCTGCAAGCAGCTCCTTTCTCTTCTGGGCAGTTTTCTAGCTAGGCTCTAAAGCCTTTGTACTGACTGTGGTGCCTAGCCCAGGGCTGGTCCTTGTCACTACTAAGAAAAAGGCAGGAACCAGTCAGTAGGGAGTAGGAGGAGTAGGGAGGGGTACGGGCACCAGCAGCCACAGGAGAGGGGGCTGAGTAAAGCACAAATGCTGAGCCCTCAGTCTTTGGTCGAGCTACTTAACCTCGGCCCAGAGTCCCAGGAAAGCTGGTTCTGTGATCACCTCCCTCAACATCACTGAACACCTGCTCTGCCTCTAGTGCCATTTCTCAAAGGAGACATCCCTAAGCAGCACCAATAAACAAGGCCCTAGAACTCGGTGTCTCTGCTCTTGTCCTCTTGGCCTCTGCCATCTGTACATTCAAATCCTATCAGCCCCTCCTGGTATGACCCCTAACCCCAACCCAACTCAAGCTGCCCCTGCTTGTGGCATAGTCCTGTTACCTTGGTTCTGTGCCAATGGCCAATAAGGCAGAACCATGGTCCTGCCTGTGAAGTTGGGTCCTGGCCATCTCCATGCCTATCCCACAACTCCTTGCCAGTCTTCTGGTCAAGATGTCACAAACCCCTGCTGCACATTAAGTACAGAAGGCCAAGTTTTGCCATCTGAGGCGATTGGATTAACAGCTTTATTCTCAACTACAAAAGGGCTGGTATTTTATTCCAATGTTTAGTTGGAAAGGCTGAGGCCTGTAGGGACCTTTGTTGTCCCTGTTCACGGCAAGAATTCAGTCAGTCCCCTGCTAGCAGCTGTGGGCTTGGTGAATACCCAGATCCAGATCTGCCCTTCTGAGCATCTGAGGGCAGACAGCAGCGGTCAGGGCCAGAGCTCCTGAATGCAAAGGATGGTTTTGGCAACTGCTGCCACTCATAGAGGCAAAGAGTTCAAACAAAAAGTCCTGCCACGGCCAAGTCCTGTGGTAACACATCACCCACAACCCCTGCTGTGCCAGGGTGCCTGATGCCGGAGGCCTACTGTTATGAAGGCACCAGTGGGCAGCAGCCCCCATCAGCAGAGCCAGAGCCAGGGCAAAGAGCAGGAGGGAAACAGCCAACAGACAAAGGCCAAGGCTGAGAACAGCCGGGTGGCTGACTGGGAGAGCTCTGGGGGCAAGGCTGGCACAGTAATCAACACTTTTCTCTGAGCTTCAGTTTCCTTAACTAGAAAAAAAGAACATTATCTACCTCAGAGACATGGTGTGAACGTCAAAGGACACGAAGTGTGTGAGACCCCCAGCGACTCCAGCCACAGCTCTCCCTTTGAGCCTGCCCAGTGCAGAGGTGGTAGAGTGGTTCACAGCATGGTGGCCAGTCACTGAGCGAGCACCTCCCACATGCTACGCAAGGAGGGCCTCGCATTCTCTCATGATGTTGGGAATTGCCTCTTGCTACACATAAGGAAACAGGTTCAGAGAAATTCGGCAGCTTGTCCTGTGTCACACAGCTGGTGGAGAGCCTGAACTTGGAAGCTGCACTTGGCTAACCGGAAGCTGGGCTCCTTGCAGCCCTGCCCTGCTCCCATGTGCTGCCGGGACTGGCAAGCAACAGTGTTCCCGTGGCAGCACCTCCACCTGGAGGGGCTGGGCAGGGAACACGACACTGTCAACTTGGAGCAAACTTTTATTTTGAATGCTGGTCTGATCAGTCCATGGCCAGGGGTCAGTGATAACTAGAAACAGTTGGAAGGGGGGGGGAGCAGGAGGAAAGGGTTGGGGATGAGGCGAGGCTGAGGAAGGACCCAGCCAGCTGGGTGTCTGCCTCGGCTAGAGAAGGAACCACCCCCACCCAGCAGCCCATCTTATACCAACACCAAAGGCTTCAGTGCAGAGCTCTGTCCAGGCTGGCCAGGCCCACATCACCATCCCTGGCCTACACAAGCCCACCCCTCATCAAGCAAGGATTCTTCCAAAGGAATAAATGCTCTATGCTGAGCCGAAAAGAGTCTTTTTCGTTACCCTCTAGCAGTCCTTCTCACATCTCAGATGGGGCTTCCAAACCCAGGGCTCAGGCCTTCACTGTTATGCTTCTATAGCAGCCATATCAGGGAGACATGGGCGGGAAAGGAGAGGTTCCAGTCCCAGCATAGCTCAGAGGAACAGCTTTCCACCCCCACCCAATGGAGGTGCTAGAAAACACCTGAGCAGCCCCAGATTGTAATCTAATAGCCAGTGGCTGAGGCCAAACAAAAAGCCAAGGCCCAAGCAAGGCGGCTCCTGAGCAAGGTGAGAGCCTCCAGGCCGGGCAGATCAGCAAAGGCCAGGAAAAGCCAGGGCCGGCCCAGGCAAACACAAGATTGTCTCCAAGAGGACCCCACCAGCTGTCTTTGGGTCAGTGGTGAGGGTCAGAGTTTAGGGCTGGGGAGAGTCCCATAATCCCATCACCACTCCCTTCCACACAGCTACAGGTTACAACTGGAGAGCTTTTGGCATGACCTGTTTTGGGGACTTAAAGGGAAGAAAAGGGAGAGGGAGAAAAGAGGAAGCCACCCTTTCTCCCTGTTAAAATCCCCAAGTCCTAGATTGTGGGTTCTCTGCTCTGGCAGCAGCAGACACCAAATCCCAGAAGCCCTCTGCCTAGCCCGGCTACAAGAAGGGGCCTGAGTGCAGAGAGAAGCAGTGAGACAGGGAGGGCAGGCTCCTTCAGCTCCTGACACCTCCAACACCCTGAGCATTCGCACAAGCACACAGGCAGGTGGGCGGGCAGCCATGAAGGAAAAAAGGAGAGGCTGGCAGGGCCGTGGAGGGAGCACTCCTGCTCACATCTCTCTCTCTCTCTCTCTCTCTCTCTCTCA